ACTTTGCCCTGTTCTAGTGATAGAGTAGCTGACCCATACTTTGCCCTGTTCTAGTGACAGAGTAGCTGACCCATACTTTGCGGTCAAATCTTGCAATGGAACTAACTTAGTAAATCTGAGGAACAAATACATATAACACATCTCAGAAGCAGTAATCACCATTGAAAGCTTAACACCATTAACTTTCCTTTCTTATACCTAAAAATTCTGAGTTATGTGAAATCAACTCCCTAATTTAGGCTTTATTTATGAAATGCAATTGATTAATTAAGCCCTTATAAAAACGAGGAACTACAAAGGAGCTGCACACCAAGCAAAAGACGCCAGTAGTACTATGATGATGGAAATGCCCTATACCTGTATTGAACGTTTGGACACTGGACAGCACTGTATTGCTGTCCAATACAGTGACCACTGCTACATGTAGCTGCTGAGCATCTGAAATGTAGCCGGTGTTATCTGGAGAACTACATTTTAAATTAAATTAATGTAAATAGCCAAGTATAGATAGTGGCTACTGTATAGGACAGCTTAGGGTGAGCTTCATCTATTTAAAATTTATTAAGCCACTCCTCAGCTCAGAGCCCTCCACTGGCTTTCCATTTCCCTCAGGCCATGTCCTTCCCATGACCCAGAAGACCCTGCACAACCGAGCCCTGGCATGAAACCTCCCTTTTCCATCTCCCCCTATTCTTTCCCTCCCTCCTCCTGCTGCAGCCACACTGGCCTCACCGCTCCCTGCAAACACCAGGTCAAGCCCCACCTTCGGTCTTGGCCTAGCCTGGCGCTCCCTTCTAGATGTCCACCCATGTGGCTACTCTTCACCAACTTGAAGTCTTTAACTGTCACCTCCACAGCAAAGCCGATAATTATCTCATTAAAAGGTGCACGCACCACTCAATCTTCTTTCCAGTGGCCACTGAGTCAATTACATGGCAATCCCCTGTGGGTCAGAGTAAAACTGGGCTCACAGGGTTTCCAGGAGCTCATTTTTCACAAGTCCTTTGGGCAGAGGCACGTTGGAGGTGAACGCAAACCTCCAATCTTTGGGTTAGCAGCTGAGTGTTAGCTGTTACATGACCCAGGGATGCCTACCATTGTCTTTGATCTTTCTCTCTTTGGTCCCAGATCAGGGATCACCTTCTAGCATACCATGTACATCATGTATCTGTTTTGTTCTTGTGTGTATTTTTTGCCACCACAACCCCCTGCCCACTCCCACAGCCAAAACATATTTGTCAATCAAAGGGACATTTGTTTTGTTTACTGATGGATATCCTAACATCTAGAATGAACACACCAAAACTCATGGCTATTGAATCGATTTTGATTACAGCGACCCTAAGAGACAGGGTAGAACAGCTCGTGTGGGTTTCCAACACGGTAACTCTTGACAGCCTCATCATCTCTCTCCTGTGAGCGGCTAATGGCTTTGAACTGATGAGCTTATGGGTAGTGCAGCCCAGCTTTCAATCTGCTACACCACTAGGCCTACCAGGATCTAGCACAGTGATGGAATTTTGTGGATACTATGAATATTTTTCTTGCATACATTAAAGATCAAGAATAGTGCTTATTTGATCATTATTTTTAAAAATGCAATTCCTCACTCACTGGGTCTTTCCGTTTTCTAAGAAGCATCTCTTAAAAATGACCTTAAAATACCATGTATTGGCTTCATTTACCTATAAAGTCCCAGATGAAGACATTCTTGTGAAAGATGCGGGCGGATTTGAACCCATGGTGGAAGACTTGCTCAAGTGCTGCAACCAGGCCGTTTTCTCCACAAAGCAAGACGGTGAGGCTTCCTCTCTGTGGGACACAACATACAGTGCTGAAGGAGAAGAACTGGCTCTGTCTACAAAACACACTAGAGAAAGACGTGCTGAGAGTAACTATGGGGAGCAAGCTTTGGCAACTATTGGAAAGCTTACAGATTCAAGTACTTTGTCTTGCCTTATGTATCACACATAAAAGTGGCTTTAAAAGTCCTACTATACTATGTTGTATAGCCCATAATACCTCTTTTTCAGGTTTGTGAAAATGTTTCACAATATTGTTCACAGCTTCTCCAATTCCTTCTTGTATCTGTCCAGCATTGGGCTCTGTAAGATAATGAACAGTGGCTGAACTTTCCGGTGGGAAAAATAAAGTGAAGTCCTACGGGATACAAACTGTCCGTTTATGCAGCAAACACGCCGCTGGAGCAGGGCAGTTTTGCCAGCGGCTCCCTGAGAACTGCCTGTGTCCAGTCTGGTCCAGCGGAAGGCCTCTTTGCACAGTGGGAAAGAATCTGAGACCCTTAGCTTCAAATCCCGGTCTTAGCACCTGCAATCTAAACCCTTGACTCTACGTCCAGCTTCTCCAAGTTTGAAGGTGAAATCAGGGAAGTGCACATCTCACAGTGTCCCTTGGAAAACAGAACGAGGGATTAGGTGTCAGTCGCTTGGCATGATGCAAGTCCCCAGATGGAAAGGAAAGAGGACTGCGAGCACTTTGTGACAAACATCTCTTCTCTGGCCCCTCCTTGTCCTATGTAGCGTGGAGCACCTCAATGGACAGAGGACAAAGCTTCTGGAGCTCTGAATGGCTGACCTGGAGTTTGTGCTTTTGTTTCTGCATTTCAAGTTTTGAAAAAGGAAGACGGTGGCATACCAGGAAGCCCCAGCCTACAGCTCAGGGCACCACTTCTTTTTAGCTGCCTAGACAGTGCTTCATCCTGGCAGCCAGCACTTGCCGGTCTAGACCCTTTTCTTGAGGAGGATTTAGTGGACTGTCTGAATGGGACACCAAACCTCTGGTCCCTCAAGTCCTACAGAAAAACAATTCCAAACTCACGGTCATGGCGTCCATTCTAACGCACAGCAACCCAGGAGGGCAGAGGAGAACTGCTCCCAAGAGTTTCTGATCTTTACAGAAGCAAAAAGCCTAACCTTTCTTGTAGGAGGGGCTGGTAGGTTTACAATGCTAATTTTGCTAAGCCAGTTTTTATTTGATGTATCAGTTTGAGCAGCTTTTCTGTCCCCTCTTTTAGTCACTAGCTGATGGGAGGTGGTCTTTGTGTTTTCATCTCAGGTTTACTTCTGGCAGGAATGTGACCTTGAACCAAGCGTCTCCCACAGGAGAACACTGGCCGGCAGCCACGAGTGTCACTTGGCAATAAGTGGGATGATGTCTTTCCTTGTCCCTTGCTGATGTTCTATAGTCATTCTCAACTGTGGCCTTTGAATGGAGGCGTCATGACAGACAGACCCTGGGCACCGAGAGGTGGGAGAGTTCCACGGGTCACTCTCGGGGTGACTGTGGCCTCCGGCTCAGCACTATCCCGAGTTGGAAAGCCTGTGTGTTGGTTGTGGGAGGAGGATTCTATCTCTGTGTAGTCTTCCTTTTAGAGAAAGAGTAAACTATTTTCAATCAAAATACTCTCATACTTGGCCAAAGCATTGGTGAAAAACATAAAAACAGTATGTTCATTAAAAAATAAACGAAGTAAAACGCTGACCGAATACTTAAGCAACTACACCACTGGGGCTCCTTCTGAAGTCCCAAGGGTGATGTGAAAAAGGTGGCAAACTTCAAGGCCAGTAATAGGTAAGATGAGAACAATTATTCCTTTTGGTATCTTGTCGTGGTGATAAATATTAAATCAAATTCATGTCATATTATAAATGATAATATACATCCCAGCATTTAAGAATCTCTAATACTCAATAGAGAACTTCTTACTTTAAGCATTTCTTCAAGTCAAGTCTACACTGACACATACAAATCCTAGAAAGAGAAACCTTCTTAGGACTGAAGCACTGATCTTGTGGCCACTTCAGTTGCAAGTAGTGTCTTTATTTTACTTCTTTCTCTGGATCTTACTTTCTCTTTCAAACATCACGATCCACTTTTAAAGTTCTAATTCATTCCCCAAGAGTTTTGTACCAATCAGAATTTTAAAATAGATTTTAAAATTTTAGTTTTCTGCCCATTACGTTGCATGTACCATGAAAAAATTCCAAGCTATTCATCTCTGAGTGTCAGGTTATTAAACATTTTCTTCTTACCGAGTAAGGAAAAGTAATGTGGCCCCAAAATGAGGGACACCTCGGCCTCTGAAAACAGTGATAGTCAATGAAATTGGACTGATTCAGAACAATCTAGGTTGCCTAAGCTAAACTTATCTCATTCTGGAAATCAGGATAACTAAGGTTTGCTTTTTTTTTTTTTTTAATCAATTTATTGGGGCTCATACAATTCATCACAATACATAGATCAATTGTGTAAAGCACATCTATACATTTGTTGCCCTCATCATTCCCAAAATTCGCTAGCCTCTAATTTTCCTTTTTTTCCCCACCCCTTCCCTTCCTCCTCCCCTGCTTTTTTTTTTTTTAAGGTTTGCTTTATATACAATGGCATTCATCTACCTTAAATGCAACTTGATGAGCTTGATAGGTATGATTCACTAGCATAATCATGGCATAGATCACTTTCATCAACTCGTAAGTTACTTCAAGTCTCTGTTAGTCAGTTCCTCCACCAGTTACCAGCCCTGGGAAACCACTGATGACTTGCTATCACTATTAATTTGTCCTCCTCCAGAATTCCATATAAATGGAATACAATACTTAACTTTGTCTAGTTTCTTCCATTTAGCACATGCTTTTGAGATTCACCTAAGTTGTATCAGCAGTTCAATTACTCTGTTGATTAGAAGACTATTGGAGAGCTCATTCACTCACCAGTTGCCTGGCTATTTGGGAGACCATGACTACAGGGGCTGTGCAAACCTGAGTGCCAGTCTTCGTGAAGACAGGTATATTCATGTCTCTTGGGCAAAGACCTAGGAATGTGATTGCTGGGTCAAGTGCATACATATATATATAAATATATATATACACATAAAAAAACCTGCCAAGTACTGAGCATTATCAGTCTTTAAAATTTTTGCCATTCTAGTGGGTGTATGGTGTGAACACAGGAGGGGACTAGATTGAAAGAGAATGAAGGGTTTTTTTTTTTTTTTTGTATTTCATCCTAATACTTAACTATAGCAGCAAACAAATAGAGACTAATAGCACTTAGGGAAGTTGTTTCAGTAATAAACAAAGGGCTTCCATCAGGAGATATGGTTATTCTACTTATGATAATTTCCTATACATGAAATCACACCACTTCCTTAGTGAATTCCTGTAATTTCTTTTTCATTACTTATACCGTGTCTGCGTTAGTTTCCTTTGGCTGTACAAACTGGATGGCTTAAAACAACACAAGTCTGTTCTCTCACCGCTCTGGAGGCCGGCCATAAGAAATACCTATCTATCATTGGACCCGGACTGAGGTGTCAGCAGGGCTGTGCTCTCACCGGAGGCTCTGGAGCAGAGGTTCTCCACCTGTGGGTTGCGACTCCTTTGGGGGTCGAACGACCCTTTCACAGGGGTCGCTCGATTCATAACAGGAGCAAAATGACAGTTATGAAGTAGCAACGAAAACAATGTTATGGTTGGGGGTAATTACAACACGAGGAACTGTATGAAAGGGTCGCGGCACCAGGAAGGTTGAGAACCATTGCTCTAGGGGGAAATCTATACTGGCCTCTTCCAGCCTGGGGGTTGCTGACATTCCTTGGTTTGTGCTCACATCATCTCAATCTCTTTCTCCTTTATATCAGCTTCTCCTCTGTCTCCGTCTTATAAAGATTTATGTGATTGCATTTAAAGACCATCTGGATAATCCTAGTTAATCTGTTCATTTTGAGATCCTTAAGTAAATCACATCTGCAAAGACTTTTTCCTAAATATGGTCATTTCCCCCCGAAATATTGTATTCACAAGTGCCAGGGATGCCAAACTCCAAAAGCACTACTATAGAGTGGATTCCGACTCATGGCAATCCTAAAGGAAGGGTATAAGTGCTCTTGTGGATTTCTGAGACTCTATAACTCTTTTTAAAAAATTAGCTTTATAGGCATATAATTCACAAAATCTAATGGTTCAATTATACTAAGAAGAACTGTGCACACACCACCACATTCTATGAAAGAACATTTTCTTCTTTCTTGTATCTTTGTTGTTGGTCCCCTTTTCTCACCCCCATCCCCAACTTCCTCCTGCCCCGCCCCTAAGAAATTATTAATCCAGCGACTGTCTCTATAGATTGACCCATCCTAGATTCCATACACAGAAAATCATACAAAAACAAAGGTAAAAACCAACGACAAAAGCTAGAAAAACCTCAATCAAAAAGCAAAAATATTAAAAACAAAAAACAAAAATACGGAAACAACTTAAAAATGAGTCAAAGGGGGGATCAAACATTAAGTTGTTATATTTTAATGTAATTACATTTGCCATAATTGACTTTAAAAGGTCCCCATTTGGTAGCAAGGCTGTTTCCATCCCTGGACTACATTCAGAGGGATTCACCAATCTTAATGCACACAGGGACCCTGCAAATGGATTTTGGGCTTCCACAGCCTTTGGCAAACCAAATATTCAGAATTTAAACTCTAATCCAGGTCCCTTCTCTGGATTTGGACTTTATTATTCACAATTCTAGGATCACATAGGCTGGTGAGCAACTTCCATGTGAACTTAGCTGATGCCTCATTTAGACGGCTGCTTGTGTTTTTTAAGACGTCTCTTAAGTCCCTAGATGTTACTCTTTCTGACAGCCTTCTGATGTCTTGATGTCTTCACTACACTTAGCCATAGCACTCAGATCTTCAAGTGATCTCTTCGTAAGAGTGAGCACTGAGTGAGACTGTAACTCTTTACTTTTCTCCTGTGGAGTGGCTAGTGGTTTTGAACTGCTAACTTTGTGGTTGGCAGCCCAAAGTGTAGCCACCAGGGTTCCTTTCCAGGGACCAGAATCTGATATTTGGGGGCAGGGGTGAGTGGGTGGAATATAATTCAATCTACTAATTAGTAAAAATTAGATGTGGGCTATACAATTAAAAATGCCATGTGAACATAATATTCTATTCACAAATTTAATTCTTCTGTATTTTGCTTCTTTGTGCATATGAACCGAGGTGAGGTATATTTGTTTTCTAAAACTGCTGATTTCGAGGAACAATATCCCACAAATTGAATGGTTTCTAAGAGCATAGATTTATTCTCTTTTAGTACTGAAGCTCAGAGTCAAAATTTAGGGTGTCTGCAGGACACTATTGCTCTAAAAGAAGATCCCTTTTTATAAATTGCCCTTATTAGTTCCTATTTCTGCAGCTTAGTTAAAAGTGAGCATTCAGATGCTGTAAGATATGGGAAAAATAATCTATAACTTATCAAGGGTTCGTGAGGGAGGAAGGGAGGGAGGATGGGCGGGGGAGGGAGGTGGAAGAAATGGGGAGTTGATATCAGGGGCTCAAGTGGGAAGAGATGGCTTTGAAAATGATGATGGCGGCATGTGTGCAAATGTGCTTGACACACTGGAGGAATGAATGGGTTGTGATGAGAGTGTAAGAGCCCCAATAGAAGTATTAACAAAAAGTGCGCATTCAGTGTTTGGAAGGCAGCTGTGCTCACCACTATACCACCACCGCGGATGCATTCAGTGTTTTGAAGTTTTAGTATTTCAAATTCTTCAGGCTTTTGATTACTTGTTAATGCTTTGCCTTTATTTCCCCCTTTTATTCCCTTTTAAAGCTCCTTCTCCCAAGTTAGTTTTCCTTAACTTAAAAATTTTTAATCTCCTTCCTCATTACACTCCACCAATGCCAGTTACTAGGTGAGCTAGCCACAAGAAGCCTGTGGCATCGAAGGCACATCTGGATAAAATCATGGAAAAAGCCAACTACTCACTGTTGGCTTTTCCTGTCAGTGACGGCATGCTCAATCGCCTCGCTGAGGTTGGTGACTTCTGCTGGGGCGGAGTCCGACACTGCTTCACCAGCCCCTCCTCGGAGGCAGAGGCCATTAGCTCTCCAATCAGAATCCTCTCCAGACTTCCGTCATCAATGCCTTTCCCCAGCCACCGCCCACAAGGGAACCTGGGAGGATAGAGAACACCTTCTCAGTCAGCATTTTCTTTTTATTAGTTTTTCCCCCCTGCGGAATGAAACAAAACCAAAGAATACCCCATCATTTTACTACTGTGTAGCCCATCATTTTAGTGGCTGTGGGTTATTTTAATGACGGAAAATTTCAAACACATATAAAAGTAGAGAGAAGAATACAAAAGACATGCATATTCTTAACAGGCAGATTTAAAGTTTTGCCATGTTCTTAATGTTTGTTTTTTAATTATTTTAAAATAAATTACAGGTATCAGGATCTCTCACCCCCAAAAATATCATAATAGGAATTTCTAAAAAGTAAGACAGTCTTCTACATAGCCACAAATGTTATCACACCCAACAAAAGTAAAAATCATTCTTTCATATTTTGTCATGTCTCGTGTATACAAAAATTCTGTGGTTAGTTTTCGGAAGCATCTTTCCAAACTAGAAATTAACGTGGGCAATGATGCTCTCACAGAAGAGTGCCGACTCAACGAGTGGAACCCAGGGGGTCTTTCCTTTCCTGAGGCACTGTACTCTCTGCCTTGTTTCCGCAGAGCTGGACCAATCCTTTTCATCGCCTGAGAACTAAGCATGAGCAGCAAGCACAAGGCTCTGTTTTTAAATTGCATTTTAAGTTGCATAAACAAAGAAACAAAGGAACCCAAAGACTTAAGATCTGGAAGGCAGTGGGAAAAGTGTTACGAAAAAAAAAGTTTTGAAGGAGCCTCAGAGAATCCTGAGCTTCCCAACACATGTACTTACCTGTAGGTATGCCCGGTGATTTCATTTCTGACCATCACACAATCCACTAGCCACTTGGCTAACAGTCCTGAGTTGTCATGGCCGATCTGCACGGTGGTGAGCTTCCCCAAGTTCTGGCACTGTAGGGAAGGGGGGGGCCACAGGTTATTCAGTGTCATCTCATCCCAGCCTGCTGCACTGCTGTGCTGGCCGGGCACTTTCATCCCCCTAATATAACCACCTCCGATGATGACTTCCTCTGCATAATGGGCTCTGCTACCGAAAGAGAGAAATATATTTGCACGAGTCCTTGCTCTCATGGAGCCCCCACTTACGGATATAGGGACGATGAACTATCACGAGTTGATATATACAATATGCTAGAGCAACAGAGGAAACAAAGATTTGTTAGAAAGCGGGGCCCAGGGCCACACAGGGGAGTAATTTACATCTTGAAAGGCAAGAAGAACCTCAAAAGGTGGTCAAGGGACACTATTTAGAGAAGAAAACAACTGCAGAAGCAAAAAATATCAAACATTTGTATTTGTCTGTTTTTTATAAAAAACCATGGCAGAAGTAACTTCACCCCTCCTACACTAAAACTAGTTTTTGAAGCTGCAGCCAAAAAGCATGGTGACCAGTGAATGCCCCTACTGGTTCTTTGGGGAAAATAATAAACCAAGACGATCACTGCCAACTCCCAGGGCCCCTCCGGACAGACTGGAACTGCCCCTGGGGATTCCCAAGACCAAAAACCTTTATGGAGCAGAAAGCCTCACTGTTTTCCCAAGCAGTGGTTGGTGATTTTGAACTGCAGACCTTATGGTTAGCAGTCCAACTGGTAACCATTACACCACAGGGCTCCTTGGACAAGGACAAAAAAAAGCAACAATAAAAAACATTTTAGTAAAAATAAATGCCAATTAAATCCCAAACCTTAATGTCTGCTAATTTCAAAGAGCATAGGCCTCAACTGACTGTGACAGATGGGGACATGAGCCATGAGGTCTACAATCAAGTGACTGTGTATCTCTGGGAGAAAGCATCAGGGGTTCCAGGTGAGTCTATTGGGTAGATAAGGCTCTTGAGGGAATCACAACCCGGAGCAGACTCTGCTACTCTTAAGCATCAATGAATATAATAAGCACAGGAAATTCATTTAGTACTGCTTCCCCGCTGACGTGTGAGCAGGGATTTGCCTTCTTCCCACACACCATCAACCTGCATGTGGGCGCACACACCAAAACGCTTCACCAGCTGAGACCTGAAAGCAGACTACACCATGGAAAGGCATTATTGTCATTGTCTTTAAAACAAAATCATTGTACAGATGATTCTGTGGATGGATAGATATCACTTCTCTTGTCCATTTATTAAGAGATGCTGAGGCCAGGCAGGGAAGCCAGAGAGGAGACCCTTTGTGGGGTAAGCATCTATTTGAATGCCTTTATGTGCTAGGTTCTGTGGTAGTCACTGAGAATCCCAAAATAGGGTCTGGAAAAGAAGCCCCCCACTACAAATATAAAAATAGAGCTTAAATAGCAGCAATGATAGCAACAATAAAAATACAAAACAAATTAAGCTGACAATTTTAGGTAGTCATGAAATGGATCTCACATGTTTAAATGTTCCTCCTGTGTATTATTTTATTAAAAAATAAAACCAACCAACTCCAAACTGGAATCCTTCTGTGGAACTCCATTTGAAATGACACGTTTTGCTCAGTTGAACCTACCTCAAAAGTCATTTCCAGGAGGTTTTTGGGAATCTGCATTACTCCTGTGTCTCCCAACTCTCCCGCCACACAGATCCAAGGGTTGGATGTGATGATTGCATTGCTTAACTTTTTGATTGGGATGATCACTGACCTATATGGAATCACTGAAAGATAAATGTTCAAATTAATGTAAAATGATGATGGAAAGTCTCCTGATAACAAAACACACTGCTTCTCTAAAGAACTCGGATGGCTTTCAAGGATAATTTGCTTCCGATGTGTAGTCAATGCGGTTAAGATGCATTTAAACAAAACCACCAGATAAACTGTTTTAGTCTAGCTCAGGTGGCAAAGTGGTTATGTGCCTGGCTGCTAACGGAAAGGTCAGTGGTTCAAACCCACCAGCCATTCCATGGGTGAGAGATGTGACAGCCTGTTTTCATAAAAATTCACAGCCTTGGAAACCCCGTGGGGCAGTTCCACTCAGTCCTACAGGCTCACGACGAGTCCCGATAGATTCCATGGCACCAGCCTTGCTGCTGTTGCTGAGCCGAGAGTTCCAGTTTCTAAATAACCCGACCCGACCTGCTAGATGTGGGAGCCTCCCTGGCACACGCTGCCATGGAGGGGCAGCACCGCACCTCACCATGGACACACATCACCACCGCATCCAGACTCAATATCCGGTGGTAGCACCAGGATCCCGCTACCCAGTACTCTTCCCGATGTAATATTTTTAAAATTAATTTTGTACCCAAACCAAATACTGGTAAACGTGATTACTAATACAATTTTATAAGAAAAGAAAGATGAATGGCTTCTTACATAGTATTTCTTTTTACTAACTTTCTTGGCATCTCCGTTATGGGCATAACATAAACCCTGTTGACCATGACTCCCAGATTAGAACCCCAAGAAGGCAATGTGTGAGAGGGACTGCTGGAGAAGTCACGGTGAAGGGGGCAGCTGGGGGAACCTTTCTCTTGACTCTTCAGAAAGTGCACCACTAGATGTCACTGTCCTCTCACTGCCCCCGTTCAAATGTGATGGCACAACAAAGACATCACAGGCTGCTTTGAAAAAGAAAGGAGTGGGTGGGTGGGGGAGAGGTGTGTGTGTGTGTGTGTGTGTGTGTGTGTTCTACAGACATTAGCACATTTTATTCATCAAAGTTACACTTCTTTTCTTAGCAGGGTGGTTTTCTTGTTCAATCATAAGAGAGGAGTTGCTAGCTCTCCCTGAAAGATTTACAGGTAGACTAGCAACATTCACTGGCAAAGGGGACCAGAAACCACCTCACACAGTGAGTGCAGGGTTCAATGCATTCTTTTTTCAGAGGAGGAAAATGAGTGGGCTAACTGCTTCATTTCCCTAATTTTACATAAACTACTTTCTCTACCTTGGTGGAGTAACTGCCCTTTCCTTTTGGCCAAAGGAAAATGTCAGAGAAAAGGCCGTGCTTTCGTGAGACTAGGTGGGTTTGAAAGCGAAAGCAGAAGAGGTTAGCTTAAGACTTTATTTTGGGCGCCGGCACTTCTCTAATTCCTTGCATCGACAGAAAACCGTGAAGATACAGAAAAGGCCTGCTTGGGGGTCAACAATTCTCTGGCTGAAAAGGGCCCACAACGCTTTCAACAGATAAAAGTAGAAAAAGAGCAGCATTATTAAACTATAAACTCTTCTTTCCCTAAGTCTATCAATTCCTCAAATTGAGCATTGCTCGGGCAGTTAATCTGAAAATATAAGAAGCATTTTAAGACTCTTCCCTACCTTTGCTGTCCTTCTCTTTGAAAACTGTGAAGTAGCACCTTAGCCTCGTGGTCCTGCAGTGCACTGATCCGAGTAGCAGTAGCAGGGCAGATATTACAGGTTGCTCTATGACAGAGACCTAGCTATGGAACACCAGGGCACCCATTGTGAGCATGGAAACAGCACCCCTGTCCAAACAGTCACACCCACTTTTTTGAGAACTTCATAGAACATCAGCACAAAACAAGAGAAGCTCATTCATCTTTTCCAGAACACATTATGGCACCACATGAGAATTACCACTTCATCTTCATTGAGGAAAACTGGTTTATGCTGTTTCTTTCCTCAGCAAAGCAAGAGGAGAGTGTTCCTGGAACCTTGAGAGTATTAGGTTTTTTAAAAAATCATTTTATTGGGGGCTCTTATCACAATGTACACATCCATCCATTGTGTCAAGCACATTTGTACATATGCTGCCATCACCATCTTCAAAGGGGAGTGTTAGTTTTAACTTGCCGACAATGGAAACAGCAAGGGTTAACAGAAACTGCTCAGTGGTGCCCCCTCTCCCTTCCCCACCCCCTTTCAGGTGGCCTCAGGGCACTGCCAGTCCAAGGGTCTGACTGGCCTAATACCCCCAAGACTGGGAGGCCAAAACCCCTATTCTGGCTGGGACTTCTTGGAAAACACAGACCCTGCTCCCTTCCTCCTTAGTGTTGGCTCCTCCTTCCTGCAGGAAGAGCAGCCGTCCTGTGACGAGGAAGCAGTCATGAACCGGGAGAGCCTAAGAGGAAAGGGCCGTGGGTCCCGTGGGGACGGCACAGCCAGGCTTCTCGTGATCACAGAAGAAACGGAAAACGATTCAGTTCTGTAAGCCACTGTTTGTAAGGTTTCTGATCCTTGTAGCTGAAGATAGTTTCTAAATGATCTAAGTAAAAGTTATCTGAAGAATGGAGGGAAGACCAGTGCAAATAAGATTTAGTAATGGCGAGTAGAATGCTGTAATTCAACACTCAATCAGGAATAAGTCTTAATCTGCATGCTTAATCGGCACAGTGGTTGTTGCATGCTGTCAAGTCTATTCTGACTTCTAGGACAGAGGAGAATTCCCCCTGGGAGTTTCCTACAGGAACAAATCATCAGGTTCCCCCCACAGAACCACTGCTGGGTTTGAACTGCTGACCTTTCAGTGAGAAGCAGAGCACTTAACCATCGTGCCAACAGGACACTTATCTTCCAGTTACAGATCTACAATGTCTAATAAGATCCCAAATCCTTCTCAATCATCAAAGTTTAATGAGTTTTGGTGGTGGAAGGGTTCATGTTGGCTGTGAACCACAAGGTTAGCAGTTCAAAACCACTGGAGGCTGTGTGGGAGAAAGAGGAGGCCTTTTACTCTTGCGAACAGTTGGAGGTCTCGGAAACTCCTGGGCAGTTCTATCCTGCCTGTAAAACAGTTGCTCCTGACTTGATGGCAGTGAGTTTGTTTGATTTTGGTCACTGATTCTTGGGATCTGCTTTGATTGGGACAGCAGGCTATGTTGTAACATCTCTTTTCACAGCTATTTCCGGTAGCATATCCTAGGGCAGGCTGAGTTTCTTGGGAAGCCAACTCTAAATTCGAGGTTAGCATGCAGGATGCGTACCAGACAGGGCTCCTGGGTCAACATGCAGAAGAAAGCACCACTGGCCACTGGAGGTGAGCGATGATGATGATGCAGCCTCAACAAAGCCCTCTCGGGGAGATCTGGGCCGGCTCTGGTCAGACACTGGGTGCTGGCTGCCCAGGGAAACGTACTGGTATTGGCCTCAGGTAAGGGAGCTTTCCTCTGTAATGTAATCTCCATGGGGCCTGCCAGCTGAGGGCTGCTTTTCGTAAGCACACGCAGCAGCTGGAAAGTGCCCTTGGTTTCTGCACGGAATTCTGGGTGGTACACACAGTGCCTGTCTCACTGTATTATGGTATGACTCACTGCTTAATAGATGAACTCTTTTATCCCACTAGTCCCCTGAGTAACCAACTCTGCAGTAACCAGCCGAACTCTCCACACTTACTGATCGTGGTGAACACACTGGTGAAGCAGAAATAGTCCACCGCATTGAGGGAAAGAAGGTGGTAAAGAAATTGCTCTCGTTCTTCTTCACAACGTAGAAAAGCGTAGCGCTTATAAAGCTTCCTAGGAAAGGGCGAGACAAGCACAAACCTCAGACAATAGGACACTTACGTTTTCCATGCTTTCCTCTATGACATCCATTAACACCTACCTCCACTTAGACAACCTTCGGGTAGAAACTGTAATCTCGAAAGATTAAAAACTAGACAAGTCACAGAAATAAGCATACAAAAGTTATTACGTAATGAATTGTAAGCATACAGTAATTGAAGGAAAACAAAAAATCATGAATCTGTCCTGTGTATAATATTAAAAAAAGATTTTAAAAATAATGTTCAGTCAGTGCTGACAAAGGTTCAATGAATACCTGTTCTCATGGCTGATGGGGGTGAAAATTACAGGAAAGTATCTTTAATTTTACTTTCAAGCCTGAGGATGTAGTATAAGAAAGGGGCAAAGATTTAATCATAAATGTCCAATGAAGTGTTTTAGGTAAAAACAGACCACAGTATTAACATGCTGGAATAATGCGCAGTTATTAAAGACAGTTTAGGAAAAAAATTAATACCAGTACTATTATTACTAAAAACAGTAAATAACTTATTAAGAACTTATATTTTAGTACTATTTGAGTGTTTTACTGGTATTAATATACGTAATCCTTATGATCACCCTGTCAAGTCTATTATTCTTATTTGATGGGAAAATGGCGCTAGAGAAGTATGATAAGGAACCCCCCCCCAAAAAAAACGGGATTTTGTGTGTGTGTGTGTGTTCAAAGCTTGTTTAAATTAAAAAAAAACAAACATTTTATTGGGGCTAATACAACTCTTGTCACAATCCATACATACATCAATTATGCACAGCACACTTATACATTTGTTGCCCTCATCATTCTCAAAATTCGCTTTCTACTTGGGTTCCTGGAATCAGCTCATTTCCCTTTTTCCCTTCCCTTTCCCTCCCCGCTCCCCCTTCCTTCATGGACCCTTAATAACTTATAAATTATTATTTTATCTTATCTTACACTGCCTGCGTCTCCCTTCACCCACTTCTCCACTGCCCATCCCCCAGAGAAGAGGTTACATATAGATCCCTGTGATCGATTCCCCCTTTCTACACTCCCTTCCCTCCCAGTATCGCCGCTCTCACCCCTGGTCCCCAGGGGCTCATCTGTCCTGGATTCCCTGTGTTTCCAGTTTCCATCTGTACTGCTGTGCATCCTCTGGTCTAACCAGGTTTGCAAGGTAGAACTGGGATCATGGTAGTTGGGAGGAGGAAGCATTTAAGAACTACAGGAAGGTTGTGAGTTTCATTATTGCTACACTGAACCCTGAGTGTCCCATCTCTTCCCCACTACCCCTCTGCAAAGGATGTCCAGTTGTCTACAGATGGGCATTGTGTCCCCATCACGAGCTCCCCTCATTCACAATAAGATTCCCCCACCCCCCTGCCTTTGGTGCTTGAAACCTGGTGCCCTCGGCCCCTCATGTTGGTGTGTTGCTTCCATGTGGGCTTTGTTGCTTCTGGGCTAAAAGGCTACTTGTTTACTTTCAAGCCTTTAAGACCCCAAACGCTATAGCTCTCGATAGCCGGGCACCATCAGCCTTCTTCACCACAATTACTTATGCATACATTCGTCTTCGTTTATGTGGGCTTTGTTGCTTCCGAGCCAGATGGCCGCTTGTTTGCCTTCAAGCCTTTAAGACCCCAGACGCTATATCTTTTGATAGCCGGGCACCATCAGCTTTCTTCACCATGTTTGCTTATGCACACGTCTGTCTTCAGCAATCATGTCGGAAGGGTGGGTATCATGAAATGACCGTTTAGCTGAGCAAGGTGCTCTTGTATTAAGGGAACGTGCGCGAGGAGGCCCAACGTCCACCTGCTACCGTACTACTAAACCTATACATATATGCACATAGGTCTATTCCCCCCATACTCATAAATATATTTACATATGTACAAGTCTGCATTTAGGCTGCTATGTTTGCCCTTTGCCTCCTACTCCTTTCCTGTTTCCCTACGCTTTCCTCCTGTGTCATTACCTGTTTAGCCTTCATTCTGGTTTCAGTAATTCCTCTCAGTTACCTTGCCCTTGATCACTCCCTACCAGTCCTCCCATCCCCTCCCTGCCACTGGTTTTGAAGCACTCATTGTTCCCCTGTCCCTGGGCTGGGCAACACTTCCTCCCTTCCCCTACCTCCTACACTCTCATGTCCCTCCAGGACTGTTGGTCCCGTTATTTTCTTCTCACATTTTTTGTCCAGCCTATCTTATCCAAGTGGACCTGCAGATATATTAATGTGTGCATAAAGTTGGGGATGGCTTTGACAGCACCATAGTGGCACATAAGAACATGCCGACGACAGCAACAACACCGACATGCTAACAAACAAAAAAGCTGCTGATACACAAAATTTAAAAGAAGAGAAAAAAACAGAAAAACAAAACAAAGACAGAAAAAAAAAAAAAAAAAAAGCCTGTTAATAGTTCAAGGTCTGTTTGTTGACCTTTAGGAATGTTTTCCGGACGAGTCTGACAGGGTGCCATGTCTTGGCCCCAAAGTTCATCCTTTATACTCCCTCGGGACCTCCTTGCTCTGCTTCCCCTGCCGCTCCATTGCACGCCCCCAGTGTTTTGCCTCAGTGTGGTGGGGTCAGCTCAG